TTTGTTTTTCAAACTCTAAAAAAAGTCTTAGAGAATTAAAAAAATGAAAAACCATATTCCTGGATCCCAAACTATCTAAATGTTGCTGGAGTTGAGTCAGGAATCGAGGAAGATTTCCTTTTTTTCATTAAGTAATACATTTTAGTTTTTACTTTTTTGGACCACTCACTAAGGAAGCTTTATTCTTTAGATATGAAGGAGAGGGCTCATGTTACCAACTGGGTACTTCAGCCAACCAAGAATGCTCCTAAAATACCTTCCTGGACTCGTTTGGGTTCATCCACAGAATTAGATTCTAACACAACATTTTGGACAGATCTTGTGAGCCTGTGTTTCATGATCCAGATTTCAGATTCCAAATTAAGAAAGTGAGCTGATGGCCATATCAATGTGTAACAAGATACGTGCGAAGCCAGCACTGGCCATTAAATAGTGAGTGATGTGTTGTGAGACTCAGGGAGCTCTCCCCTCCCTGGGCACAAAGGTCCTCTTGTCTTTCTGGGATGGACANTCCCAAGCCAGTTCTTAACCAGCGCGCCACTCGGCTGGCCCTGGATCTGTTTCTTAATAATGTCTGTTCTTTTATTCTTGTGGCCTTTTGCTACTTTAGACAACCCCTCCCTTAATGCATACTCTGTTCCACTTTAGCTGTCATGAAACCAGATGTAGTTTATCCTTGAGTAGACAGGGAGGTGACGTTGTCAAGTTGTTGGTATATTACAGGTACTGGTGGCTGTAGACCGTCTTTTCCTCCATGGGTTCATTTCATCACTGCCCCTCTCACTACAGGTCACTACCAGATACTGTCTCACGCTTCTTGAATGTTACATGTTGAACTGTAAATCTGAAGCAAAAACTGGTTTACTTTAATAGTTACTTATCAATACTGTTACCTCTGCCCTCCCACATCCTTGCAGTTTATGAGGCAGTGGGCAGTAGTCGTCTCTGGGGCTGTCACCTGGGTCCATGTGATTGATACCCAGTGTCTGTCTTTGAGGAGGAGGTCAAGAAAAGAAATTAGCATTGCCCTAGACACCTTGGGAGCTGTAGGGCTATTCTTGGGGTTGGACTCATTCTTCTTGCAGATTATGGAGTGATGAGAGGTGATGCTTTGGTGGATGGCTGTGGAAGCAAGAGACCGCTGTTGGGAACAACTTAAGTGCTCCTCTTCTTCTCATGCCACCCTCTTCAGGGAGGCTTGGGTCAGAGAAAAGACCGATTCTTCGCCTGTGGCACTATTTAACTTTCCTTTTGCGAGGTTAAGGGAGAAAGATATTTGAAGGGGGTGTAGGGTGGTTGTTAGGGACTTCTGACTGATGCAGGAAGGAAAAATAGAGGTTTCCTCAGCATGGATAGCCAGTGTCAAGAGTGGCAGGCTCAAGAGGCCCCGAGGAGTGGTCCTAGGACCCAATCTGTGGAAGAGCCTGAACGCTTACTTTCTGGCTTGGAGAAGACTCATTGTGTTGGTTAGGTGTGCAGTGTTGGTGAATTAACATTGCTTCTGGATTTCTCAGAATGAAGGCACATTTCACTGTATAATGATAGCACAGTCCTCATGGATCATCTGGTGCTTTTCACTTGAATGACATTCATTTGAGAACTGTTTTTACCCTTAAGCCTTTGGTGTTTTGATTTCTGATTTAGAGATGTTTTAGTGAGATAAGACCATATCTTTTTAAGCAAGTTTGCTTTGTAACCTTCATTCTGTTGATTCACGTCCTCCTAGAATCATGCAGTCATGTGCTGCTATATTTACCATCTCCATATTTCTCCTCATCACCGCTTCCCTGTGCCAGCCTTTTATTTCATATATAAATATATAATTTTTTTTAACTCACTTTCCTG